ATCACATATGTGAGATGGGCAGCTTTATAAACCAAATAAATAAATAAATAAATAAATAAATTCAATAGAAATTATAATTTTGCAATGTAACTAATTTTACAAACTCGGCTGTTGCACAGATGCAATGCAAATATGAGGGGGGGGAAATAACCATTCTGTCCTTTTGATGTTTACCTTTGGGTCTCCAAGAACTGCAAATCCAACTGACAGCTTTCTTTTCTGCCCTCCACTCAGGGTTTTTGCTTGATTATCTTTAATGAGCTGCATATCCAAGTCTAATAAAACTTTCTGAACCTTACAAAATCCAGCAGAAAAAGTTTTTAATCATGTTTATTAATTACACAAGCTTGCGTACTACCCAATTCAGTCTAGATTCTAAACAGCTTATAATTGACAACATTAAAAACATTCACAATAGCCTAACATCACCTCACTCCAAACAATCAGCTCAACAGCTCAGTCAGGTGTTATCCCCTGCATCAGAAATTCCTTGGAAGAGCTTTTACATACATATATACTTACACCCTTCCCCCCAGAGAAATATGACTTCTTAAATACAAAAATTTTTAGGAGCATTTGGCTTGGTAGAAATTGTTTCCCTACTGCTTCCCTATTTTACAAATTTATGAAATAAAGGAAAATATTATGAAATTAATTATTTCAAATCTAAAGTACATGTTTGTTATAAATTCTAATTTCCTATTTTCTTTACTATAAAATAATATTTCACTGATCCAGTTATACATATGTTAGCATTTTCATAAGGTACATATTTTAATGGGCTTCAGCTTGATGAATCCTCGAATAGATTATGGCCTTGGTACAGAAAACATTCTGAGTAATTTTATTTGATCAAAATTATAACAATGTGCACAGTATATATGTGGTATTTAATTAACTCACCTCTTGTATTACATCATTGGGAGGTATACCTTTAACAGAGGCAATTATTGATAAATTCTCTTCCACAGTTAATACATCAAAAAATATATCTATCTGTTGGCAAACTCCCATTATCTTTCTTACATCTAGCATTTCATCTATTTCAGAAACTTGATATCCATATATTGATGCAAACCCTAATTTATAAAAATAATGAAGAGAGGAAATAAATCATCATATAGCTAACAACAGATAGAACACAGATAGATATAGGTATAGCTATCATAATACATTAAAGCTTTTAAAAAACTAATAGAAAGGATTGTCTGATACAGCAGAATGTCCATTAAATCCAAATGAAATGTATGCATATTTGACACATTGTACACAATTTACACATGCATAAAATGGAATTGGGATTTTATGCATGTATATCTTAGATATTTTACATATGTATAGTATGGCAAAGAGGATTTTAGTATCCTCAGAGGCATACGCTGTATGAACAGATTTTATCTGGTGCATATGTACTCCACTAAACCAAGATCTATTAAATTTCTAGTTTATTGTAGAACATTTATCCATATTTGGTGAGAAACAGCCACCTGCAACAATACAAAGGGATGTTCTCCAGCAAATGGGCAAGATGTTGCTAGAGGGAAGAAAGGGGAATACTTCTACCCCAGGTTTGCCAGGAGAATTCATATGTAAAACTGAAAGTTAAAACAGGAGATTAGATGCCTGTTGTGGAATTCTTTATGCTATGGACAGCAGAGAAGTGGAAAGATGTTACTTAACACTAATCCAAGACTAATGAAGAAAGGGAAAAATGGGCAAGATTAAAAAAGAGTGCATAAAAAAAGAAAAATGAGAACATTTTAACAATATATACCATCAGAAGGGGGGCACAATCCGCAAAGAATATTCATCAAAGTTGTTTTGCCTGTTCCACTATGTCCAAGTAATGCTGTGATCTGACCCTCATATATGTCAAAGGATAAATCTATTAAAAAATAAAATGATTAGTTGGGGGGGAATTCGGCACATCAGAAAGCATTGCTACTAGCCCCATTATAAACATTTAGATGGTCATTCAAAGAACATTTTATTTACTCTTAAGTGGCCATTCTTTAATATAAACTTTGAACATAAAGTCCTCAATGAATTAGCGAATCAATGACTGTCAAGAAAAACTTGCCTATATGCTAGGCCATTGTTACAAAAAGTGCAAGAATTCCAACTTGTTGCAGATAATTGAAAATTAAACATTCTTACTTTTCAAAGCCTCCACAATGTCATCCTTTTTAACAAAGGATTTCTCAATATGGCTGATTCTGAAAAAAGACAGGCAGACATTCTGAGAACATGTGCAATTTTTAAGAAATATGAGTTACAGTCTACACTGTAGCTTCTGCATGCATCGAATTTTAAGCCACTCTCACAGAGTTCAGAGATAACCTGCAGCCACTAGAAAAACATCATCTTAGCCCAGATAGATAGGAAGGGGTGAGAGGAACAACAACTCCTCCTCTAGACTGGCCTTGATTCTGTTTGGTATCAGAGAGAAAGAAAGGGAAACTCTTTCAAGATTCTGTTATTGTAGCCTGTATCAATAAAGAAGAATTTGTGTATTTTTGTGGGGTCTGTTACTTGATCTGGTCTACCTTGAAGGGCCGACATACAGATGCTTTTTACAGTGTTGTGTTTTAAGTGTATGGAAACCAGTGAGTAACGGAGTGCCATTGTCCAATAGGGATTGTTTTCCCTTTGGCTACAAATCAACACAGCCCAAAAAACCACACACAAAATAATGTCATATGGCAGAATAAAGAATATTTATACATAAAAATTATCATATAATATTTATATGGGAGATAATATTTATTCTCCATGTTCCTGCATTTTAAAAAGAAAAACCTTATTCAACTAAAGTCACTCATTATTTGCGGCTGTATAAATAAGTTACTTTCTCATACAAAATATATATTAACTACTATGACAGTATGATCAATTTAAATTTAACCAAAATTAATCTGTGATACCTGATAGCTTCTTTTCCCCTAAATTCGGAAGGTACAGGCTCAGTGACCTCACTGAAATCTAGGTTTTCATTATTACAGCTCTCATGCAATTCCTCATAATTTCTTGTTCTTTTTATCCAAAATGAAGGTTTTAAAAAGAAGAAAAAACTTCGTCGCAATCCATATGCTCCTGAAAATAAAATACCCATATATAAAAGTGTAAACATTAAATATTTTGGACCACTGGGACATTTCAAAAAAGTAAAGTTAAAATACTTTTAATATTTCTACTCTATATATACAACAGTGAAAAACTCCTCCAACTGATCAAGACCTTATTTCTCCTCGCCAGCCTACATCATTTCATTTTTGAGTACTCTTCTGTTTTTTCTTGGCAGGATTGTTCAAGGGCACAGGGAATTAGAATCAATACTAGAAAGTTGTGAAGATTACTGTACTTGCACAGATTTATTCCCATATTAAGTTTGCATAACTAATAGTTATAAGTAAGATCGAGCATAAAAGTAATTTGAAGAAGCTAAGCTAAGAAAAAGCATGCAGAGTGTATACTGCCAAGGCTTGCCAGTTAAAAAATAGTACAGGAATAGTCCATTTAGTTGTCAACTGATGTGATTTAATGGTCAGATTTATCTCAGTATGTAGAAAATACATGAGAAATGTGATTTTAAATGGTTCACCCTGAATGAGGTACATCTTCATTTCATCCTGAATTAGACAGATAATTGACTGACTGGAGTACCAGATCCACATGTACCTAAAGGTATATTTTCTCCATTTGTCCATTGGAAGTATAGCATTCAATCTTTATGTGGGGAAAACTGAATAATGTGGGCAGAGAGCATATACAACTACATACATGTCTGTATAATTTGTGTAGTGTGACTCTATGTTGCCTAATGCAGCTTATAAATTGTTATCTGGAAATATACATGTGATGTTTATCCTGCTGCATAAAGATTTGTTCACTAGTTGGCTGGGTTTACACAATGAAACAATTCATAATATGATTTATTTTTGGTTGTATGGTATGAAGCTATGTATTGTGGTTTGAAAACCATGGGTTATGGCATATTCAGTGGTGCAAACTCAGCCAATTTTAGTTTATCCAACTGCCAAGGTTTAACAAACCATGGCTTAGCACAATTTGAAAAGTAGTTGATTATATATAATGCCTTCTTTTTTCCCTGACCTTCTGTAATATGCATCCCAGAATAGGAATGTTAAGTCCCACGGACGCTCTCTCACAAGACCAAAGTTCTCCATTATTCACAATGACTGCTTCCCCACTTAAGTACCATATCTGAATGGTTACTGAACATCTCTCACCATCTGCATTCTTTTCCAGTTCTAATAAACATACCTGGAATCACTTGATCAAAATAAATCCCTAGGAGTAGATAAAGCATGCTATCAAGGGCCAATAGTGTAAGAGTAATAATTAGTGGATAAGGGCCATGGATTAAATTTGATAAAACAGCTCCTTCTTCATAATCTTCCAGATGTATAACCTGCAAGCAAATGTGAAAGTGGAGCAGTATTAAAATATTAAGGAAAAATAAGGAAAAATAATGTATTGTTACATAAATCGAATTCGATTAACACAGAATAATACAATGAGAGGGAAATTTTGCTCAAGCTTAATTCAGATTGGAACCAGCAGTTAGAAGCTAATGAAAGCTTAGAAAATCAGAACTCTACATTCATTATGTTCTCTCCTCTCCAAGCCTTCAACTCTATTTTGCAGCTGGCACTACGATAGAAGTTGTGACCATGGAAGCAAAAAGGAATATTGGGGAGTGTAGCAGCATATAAGAAAGAGGCTATATTTTACATCTTCCTTACTTTAAACTAAAGGCTCCATTCATAGGCACCCACTACTATTTTGATAACAAAAAAATAGCTGAAACATGTATGGTGATGTCATAATACAAATCCTACCCTTTTGCATTCATGTCCTGACATTGGATACAAGCAGGCAAGTCATACGGTTTCCATCAGGATATCATGACATGTGTTGTATCACTTGCCCCCTTCCCCTCCCATAGATGCCTATGATTATAACTTCAGACTGTTCTTATAATTTATGTTATTTTATTATTCAGTTCCACTCAGATTGTGATTTCACAAAAATTCAGCAACATTAAAAGTCAGCAGCTCCCTCTCCTCCCTCTCCTCCATTCCACTACAACTGCTTTCTGCTAGAAAAGTGTGCTTGCAAAAACAATTTCTCCAGAGAACCCAATATACAGCTTAATATCATGCTTCTGGCACATAAAATGTACTCTAAGCAGTGAGAAAAGCAAAGTGGAAAATTTCCCTGCCAAGTGGGAATAGGAAGAAAAAGGGTTTTATAGCTTGAATTAATGGCAAAGCCAACTAACTAGAAGTAACATTTATACTGAAAGTGAACATCCTAGCTCATCAAGCACTGTGCCTAAATCTAAGGAAATACAAATCTGTACAAAGCACTAAACAGTAAGTTCACTGTGATAATGCCATACAAACAATATTTAGTATGAAAGCTTATGATACGCGATGCAGTTCTTTTTATTGAAGTCAAATGCCAACCCCACAAATCTCTGCACAAATTTTAATTAAGATGCAATTAGTGCACAAGTTTCAGTATTAACAAGACACAGTTCTAATTTTAAACAGAAAAATTCACATCGGAATGAATGAGAAAGCCATTAATAAACAAGCATTACATTTACTGAAAGTTCAAAACAAGCGTATATTTGTCATGTATCAAAGTACAATAAAGTTCATACTGACAGGCAAATAGGATGCTTTACTAACCTGTGCTACGCCAACTAAAAATGTGCACTCACACAGTGGACTTAATGACCACACAAAGGATTTTGGAAAGTCTTCCAACAGGACAATGGTCAGACCTACAGCACCAAAAGCCACAGTGGTGAAATACTGAGCTGAGCCAGCATTTGTTGATTTTTTAAAAAGTGATGTTAGCATAAATGCAAAGGAAATCTAAACAAAAGTAGAAAACACGTTTCAGTGCGCAAGAACGTCAAGATCAGATTTTTATACATGGCCACCTATCACAAAAGACAAAAAGTAATGTCTGTCTCACATAGAACATCCTACAGAGAATAGAGCATACCAACCTCTCCAACCTAATGCCCTGGAGATGTGTTGGGACTATATTGTTTGTAACATGATATTATTTCAGGTATATTTCTGTGTATTTTTATTTATTTATCCTATTTATATAGCCGCCCATCTCACACAAAGTGACTCTGGGCGGCAAAGAATACCTAAAAACAATTACAAATAAAAAACTATAAAAGCACATAAAACAGAAGGGATAAAATTAATAAGGGAGCCCTCGCAAAATGTACACATATTTTATCCTTCTTGAAAGAGACACTGTCCCTGCAGCTGAAACTTCAAACCTTGTCTATGCTAAAATTGTTGCATTCCACAGGGCAAAGACCCTATTAAAAACTTCCTCATTCTGGATTATGTGATTATAAATTTAAAACATTAAACTGAGCAATAAGAAATACAAGTTCTAGTTCAGCTTTCTCCACTTCTTACACATCAGACATTACAGTTATTAACCAACAGCCAAAATTTGAAGATTGCTTTTTTGAAAGAATCAAATCAACGTTCCCTATTGCAAGGCTTGGACTGCTATCTTAGATCGCTCCTACTAAGATCATGGATAGGCCATAGTGCTAGTGCAGGTGAATAGCATGTTGAGATTCCTACTCTCCTTAAGGAATAAAGGGCGTTCCTGTGCAAATAGCTTGCCTTTTTCACAACTATGGAACTGTTTGTGGGAGAACATCATTCTTTAGTGAGGCTTAAGCTCTTTTCTGGTCCACGTATAATCTTAATGTGGCTGTGTTACACATTATGATGCTATGTGGACTGTAATGATGGGATCTAGGTTTTTGGTTTCTGGTTTGTTTCATTTTTGGCCTTGTCTGGCTTAAAAAAAAGTGAGGGGTTTTATTTTGCTTTTTGCAGCTTGACTGTCTAGCACTACAAGGGAAGAGAATGCATCTATATAAGGGACACTTACATAGTAGCTGGACATCTAGTCACTTTGCCATGGGATAAATTGCTATGATATCTTTGTGTTGCTGGATCCCGAGTTGTGAATATCTGCTACATTCTCACCCCTGCATGCTTCAAAGCACCTTTTCCAATTATTTGGGGTGTGTTGCACGGGAAGAATATCCACATACAATACTGTTCCTGATATGGATGCTATTCTTTGTTTAAAGCAATGCATTTGCCAGAACTGTACAGGTTCCTGATATATATTCCAAATCTATTGGAATATGTCTGTACTGTTGGCTACCTTTGTAAAAAGATCCTAGAATTATTCTCTAAGAACATCAGCAGCCAGGTGAACTCACACTTGTTAACACAGTATCCACAGCATAGTGACAAGGAGTGTGCGCGCGCACACACACACACACACACACACTTACGGAGGATATTCCATACAGGAAAAAAAGAAGAAATATCACAAAGCTGCTACTTTTGGGGAAAAGCGAAGAGAATGTTGCAATGATCGACATGAGAAGAGACATGACAAATATCAGACTGGAGTACAGTAGGACCCAAGACAGCCTAGAAAAAAGAAGCATAAAACGAAGATTCATGAATTCAAAGTAACCTGCGCAAATTATTAATTTGAATGAAAGTATTCAGGGCAATAAAGAGGAACAGCCCTTACAGAAGTTCCTACGCGAAGTAAATAAAGCACAGAAATACAGGATTGTAGCAGATATTAGAAGAATACAGAATGATTGCTGTAGGTAACATTATGTTTTGTAACATATTACGTTAATTAAACTCCAAAAGAAGGGGTTTACTGGGTAGCTTTCTATCCAGAAATGGCTATTAATGGGTGGAAAACAACTAATATTGGACTAGGTTATGGGATTTTTAGTTGAAGGAATATAATTATTCACAAACATACTTTTCATGAAAAGATTATGCTATTGCAACAAGCTGAAATAAATTGTTTTAAGATTCATCTAAAATTATTGCTTAAATTTGAATTTCTCCTAATACTAATATTATTTCTACAAAAGGAGTTTTTCTCCAGATGCCACCTTGCCTGCTAGGTTCCAGTCATTCTCCATTTGTCCTCCTTTCCCAGATGATGCTAACTATTTATTTATGTATTTATTTATTTACATTTAAATTTATTAGCCACCCAACTCCAATTTAGAAAATTATTTTTTCTAAAAACTACACAATCAATGCAAAGACACATTTACATTCATCTCTGGTTTGACCCTCAGTGAATAGTTGCTTTGAAACTGAGGGTCTCATTACAATTGATTAAACTTGTTTAAATGTTCCTCCAGCAAATTACTCAAACCAGGTTTAACATTTCTTCTGTACTCTGCAGAATGCTACTTCTCAAGATGTTTAACTTGTTTTCACTCCATTCTCACTCTGACATTTTTATAGAATAGCAACAGCATTTGAAAATAAGTATTTAATTTAAAATAAATACCAAATTGTAGAACTGAAAAAAATGGATAGGGAAGGAGCAGGAAATAAATACAGAAAATGGGAGAAGAGAAATGAAATAAACTGGAATGGGACTGTAAAGATGTACTGAAGATGAAAAGAGCATAGGTTTTAGATTCCATGATTTCATGAAAACTAGCAGCACAGAAAATGACTGAAGGTTTCAGAAAGATAAGGTAGTCCTTGCTTACCGACCACAACTGGGACCAGCAACTCCGTTGCTAAGTGCCATGGTTGCTAAGTGAAAAATCATGTGACCATGCCAGACTTACGATGTTACTTCTGCTTCTGTCATTAAGCAAATCGCTGTTGTCGTTAAGTGAGACATCATGTGACTGCAACTTGCAATTTCACTTCCGTATTCTCTGTTAATTCTGCTTGTTGGAAGCTGGTTGTGAAGCTCGTAAATGGCAATCACGTGACCGCGGGACGCTGTGACAGTCATAAATGCATGCCAGTTGTGAAGCACCTGAATGGTGATCACATAACTGCGAGATGCTGCAATAGCCGTAAGTGTGAGGACTGATCACAAAGCTGGGCTTTTGTCAACTGTCATAATTTCAAATGGTTGCTAAACAAGGCAGTTGGTAAGTAAGGGCTACCTGTACTGCGGACAGCTACTCAAAAGACATATGGAAAGAAATTAGGCAAAGTACTAAGTTGGAAATATGCTTATGCCAGGAAGAACTCTAATTGGTAAGCTTTGGAGTTTGTTACTCCATAGTGTTGTAGATGAATCTGATTCAAATCATGGAGGATTGTATTATGGTATTACAGATGCTGAAAAGTATCTGCACTTTAAAATCCCTCACTGTGTCATACAATTGCCTTTGTTGTTCCTGCCTATAAGCATTGTGGTACAGATGCTTTATTATGGAGGTGATCATCACAAGACATTGATATGATTGTAAAACGACATAGTTTTTAAAAGAAGTTAATAGTTTGGTCATTGTAAAGTAAGTGGAGTCATGCTCAAAGATGGCATCCTTTTGTGTAAGAGTATCTGAAGCATAGATTAAGATGCTTCCCTCATGATCTTTAGCATCCTTGCACAAGCAAACAGATTCAGTAAATCTTACATCACATTTTAAGAAAAGCTCTAGTTTTCTTAAACGACTATTTCCAGTTTTTTCTGTTTTGGCATATAGTTTGAATTTTACATCCTTCTAGTAGCATTAATAGTTTACAGATTTAATTTCTGTAATAATCAACCTCATACGATGTACTGTTAACAAACATTATGTCACAACTGTAGCTATTAACTCAAAAGAACTGACTTCCCATTTTATAGCTGATATACAAAATCAAAAATCCAGTTGTTGAAAATTACTTAATACATTTGGGCTAAAAATATAAATATTTAGTAGATAAGTATTAAAGAAAGATAAAGACAGAAATAACTTACAAACAATAATCTACAACACAACACAACCACGCTCATTCAAAACAGGATTATATTTCTGTTATATTAACATTATCAAGAACATTATATTTAATTAGAAAAACTGTTATACTCTAATGTTTCAGTCAACATGTAAAGGATATTGGAGAAAGTATTGTTTTACTTATTTACATTTGATGTTTTTGAACTAGAAGCACTAAACTATCATCACACAACCAAGATTAAATACATCTCAGGAGCATTCTGTTTTATAACTTAAACCTCAAATGTAAATAATCTAAGTTTAAAGGTTTTAGCAAAACTTTTGGAAGGGGCTTCCAGTGCCTGGAATAGAGCAAAAGGGAGAAACATAAAACTGAGATGGATTTTTATTTTGTTCAGTTCCTTAAGTTACCTTATCCTAGGATCCAAGGTATGATATGCTGCTTTTCTTATTACTAGAATAATGCAGTATTAGGAGATGATGTTATACTCATAGTATTTATTTAATATAACAGAATAGGCTCACATACCAAAATGCCGTGTCTTGAAGTCCCATGACTATTAAAAATTCTTTCAATTTCTTCTCTTTTTCTGTCATGATATGGATTGTCAAGTAATATCCAAATGGCGAAAAAGCAATCACTAAGTAAATCAGAATGACTCCGCAAAGAAAATAATCAATTTCCACTGCAGCAGATTTTCCCATTATGACAGCTTCTGTTTCCTCTAGGCCTTCCAAAATGGAATGATTGGTCTTAAACTTAGAAAAAGAAGGGAGGGTTAAAGTAAGCTGAATATTACTAGAGCTCTTACAGCTCGTTTCTGTTTTCAAAGTCAGTGATAAATTTGAATATATCAAAGGGGAAAATCGAGCCCTGCCCAAGTGAAAATCTGCTACTGACAGCATTTCTTCCTCCTGGCTACAACTTCCTATCTTTTTCAAATTCTGCTAGTCGGGATTCCCCAACCATCTCAATCAGATTGATTGACTGATTGATTTCAATTTATATGACTACCCATCTCAAGTTCATGACTCTGGGCAGCTAACAGTGTTAAAAGAAAAATATTAAAGTGTTAAAAAAAACACAGAAAAACAAAAACAACACACATAAAATGGCAGCTGAAGTCAAACAAACAAACAAACAAACAAACAGATCCATCAGTCACAAGTTAACATAATTAATGAACGGGCTCAGCCCCACCCCCTGACCCCCAGGCCTGGTGAGATGTTGAGGTTATGCAGGTTGTTGTGGGGGGGCAGCAACCCCTCCTTTTGGGGTCAGTGGAAGAACTTAGATTTAAATTAAATGATTTGTTTTGCTCAACACATGAGACTTGAAAGGGTTGTTTCTTATCACCATTCTGGCTAAAAATCACAGTCAAGCAGAGCACTAATACTATTTCACTAACATGGGACATTTCCTACATATATATATTATAATATATACATCTCTATTAAAGATATATACAACAGCAACTTAATAGGACCTGTCCCTTGCTTGGAAATGGAAACAAATAAATTACTAATTACTTACATCAAAAATTGAAACACTGGGAGTTTTGTTAACTATTTTGTAAGAGTGTGAGAATACTTTTCTCTTCATGGGGAGGTTCTAAGTATGACCTCTCTCATATGAATTGTTGCCAATGTTTATATGTCACACTACATACTAATGTGGTTTATGTACCTTTGTTTTAATATGGTATTCAACGAAAGCCATTGTAAACCATCTTTTCTGTCTTAGTATGGATTGTGAACCTAATCAGCTACAGTTTATTCAATAAACCACAGTTTAGCAAATCATGGTTTGGTGTGATATGTAACCTAGTCACTGTCAAAATTCAAGAAAAAAAATCAGTACTGTTTAAAACTTCAAGTGTAAAAATTCTAAATTATTTACACTTACCTGTATAATTGCTGCATCAATGCAGTTCTGCAGTGCGGTAAATCCATAGTACCAGTATACCTCAGCTTCGCACATTTCAGAAGGTCTCGAACAACTAGCTATGGAAAAAACAAATTATATGAAAGAATATATTAATTTACTTTAATTGTTTAAATATGCTAAAACTGGGGTGTTTCTGTTGTATACATTCAAATCCCAACAATCTATGAACTCATTGCATCTCCATTATTCTACGTCATCATGGAATGGACAAATGGCCCAATGAATCTAGGGTGGTCAACAGTAATTCTAATGTGCAGAAATATAAAAGCATATATTTAGTGATATTATTATGTTTAATTGTTTGGATATATCATCCCTTTCACCAAATTATTGGAGTTTACATAATTTGCATGACCTAAAATCACATGCAATGGCTCCTACTACCTATCACTACTAAACACTTTTATTATACTATTTTTATAGCATAAATTCTTTACATCCTTATTTCAACATTGCACAAAATTAGGCAAGGCTAAGTGCTGTATTTTTTTTAATTACATACATCTTATATATTCACTTACTTTTTAATTCTAAATGACTTGAAGATACTGGAATCAGTTGTCTAGGAACTCTGAGATGGTAGGACATAGAATCCTTGAAAATTATACCTATAAACTTTTCTGGGCTAAGGAGGCTAGCTTCTTTCATTTCTTGTTCATTCAGAAATTCTTGTGCAACTTTTCCTGCAAAATATCAAAAGCTTATTTTATAGTGATAGGAGTGTAGTACTATGTGTTCAACTGCTTTACTCATTTGTGAGCCCAGGCAAACAATAAATTTTTCTATTTGTACTTAATCACCAGAGAATGACTAAATTTGCAAACTATGTGGGAACTACTGCAGTTCTTAATAACCAATTAATTGTTAACATATTCACAAGGTTTTGCACTGCTAGTATTAACTCTGGGGCCTTGCATCCAGCTATATACAGTGTATTCGGA